GCGAAAATGATAATTCAAACATTTTTATCCCGCTCGCAAAGCTGTGATAAAATGAACGTCCTTCCCAAGTAAAATCATTGTTTCGGACGCGATCGTGCAATCTGTTTCGTCATACGAAGTCGTTCGGGCAACTTTCTAATGATCAGGTCGAAAACAATAATTTGCACATTTTAAGCCTGCATGCGAAGTCGTAGTGACATGGACACCTTTCTGGGTAATATTAACATTCTGGACACACTCGTGTGGTTCATTTCGTCGTCCGGGGTCATCCGAACAGGCTTGTTGGTGGACGGGCCAATTTGAGTCAATTTCCTGCACAATGCGACTAATAAAACTTGTTGACCGGACCGAAGCCATCCGACCAGTAAAATGCTGACTGGCCTACGCCTAAGCGCAAGCCAAAACCTAACATAATGACCCTGTTTACTTGCCCCTCAACATACGCCGAAAGGTTCTATGTAGGTTTCTAAACTATCGAATGTTACAGATAGGCCGTAGACTATCCGAAGTCATGCAGGTGGACGCCCTACACATGCAACATAAAAAATTGATGCCAACAAAGTACCCCCAACAAGTGTGTTGCACCACTAAAGCACAATGCACTTGTTGACAACATCCTCAAAAGAAAGTCTCTTCTAGCAATCGAGACGACATCCCAAGAGAAGACAAAAAAAACCTCAACCAGGCTAGGTAAACTAGACAAGGTATGGTTGAGGGTGTGACTAGCTAGCCAAAATCAGCTAACCACAAAGATACCCATCCAAGCCAGATAAACTGGACATGGTATGGTTGGGGTGGTGGTCAACAGTCGAAGCTAACTGTCCACCGAAAAGTTCAGTCAAGCCAGATAAACTGGACATTGTATGGTTGAGATAAGGATTGTCTAACCTCACTCAAAACGACAGATTGATATGTCTAACCTATCTTTTGAAACGACAGAATCGATGAAACCCCGGACCTGACCTCATTCGTAACGGTGGGGGAGAAGACTCAATAATCTCGTGTGACCAAGTTTCTTGTTATGTTTCTACTAAAAGGGACCTCGATGGCGGTTCCAACTGATCCATTTGAAAAGAAGCACCCAACATTTTAATCAGGTGGCTATAAAGCACAAAATTCTTGATCAGAGGTGGGGATCGGCTAGTGTCTCAATGGTATGGCCGACTGAGAAGGCCCGATCATCTCGTGTGAATCAAGTTTACTCCTGTGCTCTCACGCGAAGAACTGACTAGTAGGTTCTCTTAGAGGGTGTCACCCATCACGACAGTCTAGGTGGTCATAAAGGCCAAGAAGTCTTGGCTGAAGTAAAAGACCAATACTCTATAAATTTAACTATAAGATGAACTATTTTAACAGGGCTAGGCCTCGTGGGACCTCTCTTTTTGGATTTTTCTTATAAAAATTTTATTTTCTCGTCATTTTTATCTCATTGTGCACTAGATCTATTGGGCTATCAGTTAATTTTTCTCTATTGTGGGAAATTCTCTAGCACTACAATATTATAATGTGAATGGAGTTCCATATATACTTTTTTAATTATTACGTAACATCTGAACTGTAAAAATATTCCAATATTAGCATTTTTAATTTCCTTTGCATTGCGTTGGGTTATTTTCTTGTTGAAAGCTTAAGAATTGATAAAAGAAAAACAAGCATGCAATTACATTTCAATAATTCATTACATGCCCAGTCCCTAACAACATGGCAACAGTAGCATCAGTGAGCAGACATGATTTAAATATTGCATTGCTCAAAAATAATTAAACAAAATACTTTTCAAATGAACCATGAAAGTATGAGTACATTGTTCTATTGACAACTGAACTTAATAAAATGGGCTCTAGGACATCCAATTCTTATCTAACATATGAAGGAAATTTACTAAAATTGATACAACTGCATTTCCCATCCTTGTCGACTCTCGATCTGATTGTGTCGGTGCTCAGATCTGACATGGACATGGAATGCTTTTTGAATTTTTTTGTTTCTTTTGTCTAATCTTATTCAAGCTTAACAAAGAGTTTGATATAATAGGTCACTAGAAGAAAGAAGAATGAGGGATCTGTCTTTAAAGATGCTCATTCTAAACATCTTTTGCAAGTTTTTCTTAGGGTATGTTTGGAGCAGCTGTTGATTATTTATAATCTACTGATAAGCAGATTATTTTGATAATCTGATAATCTGCAGATTATCAGAATAAGATAGCTTACTGTTTGGGGGAGCTTATTTAGAATAACTTATTGATAGTTGTTGTTGGATAAATGATCATTCTGTCTCTGTTTGGTGAAACTGTTTGTAACAAAACTGTATGTAATAATTTAAATTTTTTATAAACTATTAACTTAATAGCTAATAAATTTTGATAAATCAATTATTAATTACATAAATGAGAAATATCTTAGAAATTTATTAAATAACTTAAAATTTATTAAATAACTTAAGAAATTTATTAAATAACTTAAAATTTTGATATATTTTTATTCATTAATCAAATATTAAGTAATTACATACAAATTTGTCTATTATAATCAAATTTGTCTATTATATTTAAATTGATGATATACAAATTAATTATAGATTCTTAAATTAGTTATAATTAAAATTTTGATATAATTAATTATTGATTCTTAAAATTATGATATAATTAATTATAAAATATAAAGTTATTTTCTCAAAACTTCCCATCTCTGCCCTAAACCCTCGCTTATGTCACTCCCCTCTGCCCCAAACCCTCGCTTATGTCACTCCCCCTCCCGATTTCACCCAAAACTTAAAATTATGATATAATTAATTATGATATATAAATTTATTTTCTCAAAACTTCCCATCTTTGTCCCAAACCCTCGCTCATGTCGCTCCCCTCTGTCCCAAACCCTCGCTTATGTCATTCCCCCTCCGGTTTTGCCCAAAAAGATCGCCTTCGTGAACGAACCTTCGCATACAGTCGCCATTAGAGCGAGCTGGGAAGGCAACGATGGGATTGCGGTTTACAGTGATTACCGAAACTACCGTCTCTCTCATTCTTCAGATCCGCTCCGCTCCTACTAGAAACCAGAAACCATCGAGCATCGAGGAAGGTAAGCCTGTTTGCGCCATTCAGGAAACTGAAACTTCCTCTTCGCTTGGTGAGAGGGCCACCCCGTGCCCAAGAGACGAAGGAATCAACGAGGGCAAGGGGGCACAGGAGGAATTTTTCACGCTAATGCGGGAAGCAGACGCAGGACGCGACTCCTTCCCCGCTTCGCCTTCTATTAAGAAATCTTGTAAGTGCGTCCAAGCGGCAGCAATGTAAGTGCGTCCGAGCGGCATCAATAATCTGCGTCGAACGTATCTTTCAAACACCTCTACGGCGTTTTCATACCGCCACTATAATCTGCGTCGAACGTATCTTTCAAACACCTCTAAGGCGTTTTCATACCGCCACCGCACCCCAATAAGCTGCCCCAAACAAGCCCTTAAGCTCTATGACTGTAAGAAAAGGTTGGAGAAGCCAGTTAGAACATCTTTTGATTTGGTCATTTTTGTCATTTTTTTTTGGACTTCTCAATTGTTACAGTATTAGCTAAAGCACCTTTCGTCTCTTCCATTGCCGGCTTCACAGTTCTTACTTCACTGCAGGAGATCATCGTGTTTGAAATGCAATTTTTGAACAACTAGGTGCCATTATGTGCCATTTTATGCCTTTCTCAATAAAAAAATCACTCAGCTGCTTGATGTGCATTGTTATGTATTTAAAATAGTGAATTAAATAAGTTTTAATTGCTTGTTGTGTTCATAAAAAAATGGAACTGGATATCTGCGACAGCATTTGTCTGTAATAGGGTCATAGTTTTTTCTTTGATATATCTTAGTTATTTTTGCTTGCAATGTTAACATTAAATTTGGTCATTGCACTTAGCATGGTCTTCTTCTTGGTGTATGCAGTAACCATTACTCTACCATGCAAGCTCATTGTTTGCCCTTTCTTTAATTCAATATTATTTACTCAACTTGTTTTAGCAGCAACCAGATGGACTGGCATTTTTGGTTGACAAGACGCCAAAAGGGCCTTCTGCCCAGAAGAGATCACAAGAAGTGGTTAGTATTTGGTTGTTTTTTGTGTTTTAAGTTGCTTTGCTTGCTATTAAAGATCAACATTGGTAAATTTAGCTGCTTGGTCCTAATTTTATGCTGCTTTAGATTTGATATGGGAATGTATATGACATTCGCTATGGTAATATCTGTAATGTTCCGTTCTATGATATATAAGTGGCCTTATATTGTTTTTTGTCTTCATCAAAGGTTTGAATTCATCGATTTTCATTAATATTTTAGAAATGAGAAACTTCTGCTTGTAGAGAACCTTTGAATCCTTGTCTTACCTATCAGCTTTGGGGAGCTTTATAGGACATCGATACTTATTTGAAATAACTTCTCAAAAAATCTTGGCTTTTTGAGTATAATATTGTTGCTGTCATTCTTCATCATTGCGAAATCCACTCAAGTTGGGGGAGCATCAAATTGATGGTGATATGCTTCTATTCAGTGTTCACTGGGTTAAATTTTTTTTTGCCAAGGAATCAAAATATATTAACTCTTTACAACTATAAATAACCCAATTGATTGCAGCTCACAATCATAGGCTGCAACCTTGAAGGCCAAGTGTAAGCATAATACTAATTGGCCTATTTCAAATGAACTTTCAAGGATAAAGTACAAGAGTTCTTCAAATTGATTGTGATACGGAAGCTGAAGCTAAATTATTTCTTTATCAACCTAAAGGCACTCATATGGCTCAAAATAAAGGAGAACCAATGCCTATTTATATCTAGCAAAATGATTTGTGAAGAATATATTTAATAAATCAAATTACTCCTTTCAAGAATGAATAAACAATGTGGATTCATAATCCCTTACATAAGTATTTGGGATAAGGCTATTGATGATGAGTTGGTGATACTGGAAATAGTGATGTGTTGTATCTTTGAATTCCAATAGTGTTGGTTTTAAGTGTCACATTTGGTAAGCTTTATTTCTTAAAGGGGAAACACATATTTTTTGTTTAGTCATCATCCTTGACACTCGATTTATGTTTATTTGGACACTTAATAGGTTGAAATTCACCAATTCCATGTTCAATCTTGCCTTGCACATTTCTAAAAGTTTTATGATCATTGATTTACCTCATTGTGTACTTAGCATTGTCTTAAAAATTGTTGCATAAATTTTTTAATTTTGAAATGAAATATATAATGGAATAACTTGTTTTACATGTACATTATTTTGATAAAATGGCAAATATTACTTACACTTATATTAAAATTTATTGATATCCAATAAACTTTGATCATATTTCTTATAAAATAATTGTTATATTTTTGCTCATGATGCAATATATAATATGCATGCACTTGCTATAGGTCTAAATGTCATTGGTGCCCTCTTGTTGATATGATTGGCTAATCGGGCTAACAGATTTATGATTTACAGCTCTTTTGGTTGTCATTGGATTTCTTTGAGTTGGTGAAAATTTTCCTTTTGTTTTGGGTATTATGAAATCATATATGTAAAATAGTATTATTATACTTCTTGATGAGTCATTTTTGTTTATCTTCATGAACTTGATTATTGTCGTTTTACATGCATTCATTATCGTGTAGAATCATTTATTGTTGTTATCATATGAAGGATTATACATTATATCGTTATAGATTTAGTTAACATTTTGGCTATTCATTTTATGTAATATTATTATAATTTAGTACTATAATGAAATTTGTTATATTAATATGCCATATTTATCATACCCTTTGTTATTCATAGTCAATATCTTGTGTCTCATCATGTATTCTTTATTAAATAAAATTTATTTATTAAGTATTCTTGTCAAACTCATTTACTGCTAATTTTTTTCTTTTAACATGTCCTACTAGGTTGATTGGTGGACGCTAAAAGAGTAGGTTCTTCAACAATAGTTAATTTTTAGATTTGTTATTTATTTTTTTAATGTTAGTTGTTTATTTGAAAATGTAACTTAGGGGTCGTAGTTGTCAACTTGTTTATTAGTTGATAAAATATTGTTAAAGATTATATTGGTTAAATAAAATCAATTTTTAATTATTTTATGGTTATAGTTCATTTGCAAATATTTTTATATGAATTTTTTTTCCTTAATTGTGAATCTATTTCACTTATGAGAATGCTTAGGTGGATGAGTGGCCTGACACTAAGAGACAATGCGAAATGAATATATTCCTGATAGGGTTGGTGTAACTCCAATGGCGGACAAGATTAGAAAGAGTCATCTTAGATGGTTTGGTCACAGTAAACATTGACCATCTGATGATCCTTTTAAGAGAGTAGATGTTTTAGATTTCACTTATGTCAAGAAAGGCCGAGGCAGACCTAAAAAGGCAACATATTGTACAAAAAAATTTTAGATGTTAGAATTAAATGAAAATATGATACTCAATAGGACGCAATGGAGAAAAATGATTCATGTAGCCGATTCCACTTAGCGGGATAAAAGCTTGTTGTGAAACCACTTCACTTGATCTTAGCTCATGTGGCTTGTGTATTGAGATCAATTCTCTTTATCATGCTCGATATCATTGGGATGCACTAGCTTCTGGAACTAGGGTTTGATTGAGTGATATCAAATGTTAGGTTTTATTTTAAATCATTTTGATTTTTTTTTAGGTTAGTGGAGTTTTTTATTCTTGTAGGAATCTTGGACTTACTTTAAAGCTTTTGGTATTGTTGTAGCCTTAGTTTTTATGTGACTGCTGTTATATGATGTGAAATGCCACGAAAGCCTTGCAAGCTAACATTGTCACTAAAATTACTCAAGCTTTTCGAGCAATTCAATAAACGACTTAACTAATACAATGCGTGATTATAAGCAAATCGATCACTATAGAAATTCAAGTGAATTAGCCAGCATAACGTGCTTTAATACTTTGTGAATCGATATAATTTAGTTTTTTCAACGAATAGGGATTGCAATTTCACAGGGTTATCGAGAGATGAATCAAATTATGGATAAGCTAGCAGATGAGAGATAATCAAATTATGCGAGAATAATTGGGGACTCCTCTTATATTCAATGAAATAATTGTTCTTATAGAATATGATACTTGTATTCATGATTTTAACGAGACTTTGAGGCGCATATGATTGCCTTTTAGCTTCATAAGGTTGTTGATGATTTGTGGGATTGAAATTCCACTTTTATACAAGATGTTGGAGGACATATAAGTTAAGATGTAGAGCAATTATTGAGGACTTGTTCTCTTATATTCAATGAAATAGAACTTAAATAATGTGTTTTTTGTATTTATGATTTTGAGAAGAGACTTTGTGTAATAATCAATTTTTGAGAAATCTGATTAAATTTTGACAACATAAAATGCACCTAAATTTTCGCACCATTCGGATTTCAATTGAAATAATTTTATAAAATTCTACACAAAAAATTGACTAATTCCACTATATGTAAATTATGAATGGTTTGTAAGATATAAAATGTTGAAGTTATAAGTTTAATTAAACTTAATTAATCCCTAATCCTACATTGTAGCCAGTCGACATTCCTTCTCCTTTTAATCCTTCGTTTGGTTGAATAAGGCTTGAGGTTTACATTTCTTTCTCCCTCTCGATTTCATTCGACAGAAGCTCCTCACAGAAGCTGTGAGCACAGCAAGCCCACAGATGCGAGCAGTAGGGATGAGCGGCAATCTGGTAAGCCATGATTCACTCCCCATCTCCCTTTTCTCTCGGTTTCACCTGCATGAGAGGTTCTCCTGATTCCTTCTTTTCCCACAAGCTTCTATGCGACTCTACACTGTAGCAGAGCCGCGATCGGCAACTGGGCGGCCCGTAGAGTGCCACAATTTGTATTTTAGGGGGGCTCCGGGGTATTTTATGTCGTACTTTTTGAGAGTTTCATTTTCTCTCTTGCTTCCATTTTGAGGTTTGCGTCATTTTTTGTGCATTTTTCATTTTTGGTAGTCGTCGGAGGTGCTGATCATATGTTGAAAGTGTCGAATGTGGTTTGCGAGCTTCGTAAGGTATTTTGGCATGAATTCAGTGAAGGAAAGAGGAGTTTAAGATAGGAAGAAGAGAGAAGAGGATTTAATCGCTTTGGAGAAGATCTGGTTGCCGAGAAGGCTATTTAAGATGTGTTTTAGCGATTAAATTACTTTATGAGCCAAGATACCTTTCAATCCTAAGTTGATTGCGGATTTCAGGTTATTTGTCTGAGGCGGCAAACTTGAGGTGACTGTTGAAATTCATTGTAAAAAGATTCCGTAAATTCAGGTAAAGTAATATTATGGTAATTTAAGAAGATTAATTTGATTAACAGAAATTATTTGAGTCTTAAATTTTAATATTATGTTTTATAGGTTATTAATCCCAACGTAAAAAACCACCGCAACCTCCAGCTAGCTAGCAAAGTTTAAAACTTTAGCATGAAAACTGAGGCGAGTAATTATATTTCTAAATTCCAGTAATTTTTTTTAAATTTTAGAATGTATGTTTTAGTTCAATTAGATTTATATTGCAATAGATTTTTCATATTGCTAGATAGGAAAAAATATGCATGATAAGCATGATAGGAAAATATGTGCTTGCATGAAAGATATACATGAGATGGATGATATTTTGATAAACATTATATGTAAGATAGACGTGTTAGATAGTCATGTAATAAAGATATACATGAGATAAATATATGAATGTTATGAAATTTATGCATGATGAATAGTTACACAGCAGAATAAGTATGCATCTTAGTAGATGCATAAAGATTTTTTAGAATGATGTATGCTATGAAGAATGAAATAACTTATATATAAATGCTTGTATGTGTATGTTCAGAGGGGGATTTCACCCCCTAATTGTACAGACAAGGGATGCGAGTGTACTTGTGCCCGTAGAGTTTTTATACTACCCCAAACAATTATGATGGTTAGTTCACTAACCGCTGTTTCGACGATATAATATTGTTCAGGGGCGAGTAGACCGAAGCTTACCTCCCAAAAAAATTGTAAAGTTTACATTACTAATCACTGTGTTGACGGGATAATATCAGCTAGACGCAGGTAGAGGTCTTCCACCTTAGATAATTGTAATGTGTAGATCGTTAATCGTTGTGCTTACGGGAGCCTACAGGGTAATATTGACCAAGGATGTGTAAGACTTGTTGACTGTAATCCTCACAGAGACGTGTATGTAAAGTATAAAATAAAAGTAAAGTTAAATTAAATGTTTATAGAAGATTGAGTATGTTCATTTAGAAATAATCATTGATGCATGCATTAACATATATTAGAATGCTTATAAGTATATATACATATATATATATATAGCAGATTGTTTATAAAATATGAAGGACCAGTACTTTATAAGATTTTTTATACACTTGCATACATATTGAATTCTTCTTTTTGGATTATTGTAGCTCAGAAGTGTGATTACTTCTGGGTTTTCTTTAAATAACTCATTATATTATTTTAGTATTATTTTTAGATTTTAAACATTTGAACAAAATGAATAGAATATGAATAAGTATATAGAAGAAACAAGAGCAATAACAAGAAAGGTACAATTTTTACTTGTTAATTTTAATTGTGTATTTTAGTAGCTCTTTTATGTATTATTTGAATATTAAATTGTTATTAATAGAATTAAAATAACAGAGAATTGATTTTCACCGTCCGACTGTCCGTTCCCGTCTTCATTAAGCCTAGGGCCGAGTCGTGATACTTTGAGATGGATTTAATGATATTTTAGCTTCAAAAAGTTGTTAATGATTCTTACGAAATCCATCATCACAATAGATTTGAAGGCAATAGAGTGCTTTTTAGGCCGAGTTTGAGAAACTATTTTTAAAGCTTTTATATATAGTTTGACTTCGTTGAACAGGATTCAATTAATTTGGTTTACATCATCGGAGCGATTTTATTCAAACCAACTTCAAGCAAGTATGGAAGCACACGAGCATTGTGTTTTGCATCATGGAAAATGATGCTCCGAGAATAGTTTCTTATACCCTACCCAATGAATCATTACATCAGATCTAAAGTTTTTATGGGTTTCCCAACAGTCAGATTTTAGGGCACTTCAAAGCCCTCTATTATCTTTTTCATGAGCTAACCATCATATTCTATAGTTTTATTGTTTTTTGGAATGTAGGAGGATGTTTTTTCAAGAGCTACTCATAACTCTAATTATCACCTCTTCACCATTTTGTACAATATATGAAACTTCAATCCTACTCGAACTCATTGGAGTTGTTTGTGCATCTATTACCAGTTGATTCTCCTGAGTTCTTGTGGTGGCCAGTTTATTTATAGTTATTTATTATGCTAACTAAATTGTTTGTTAAATTTCTTAAATGGTTTGAGCAACTTGATCGACAATATTAACTTCTTAAGGCATTTATGGTATTTCACATCACATTTTCGACCAGGGCAACCATTTTTGGAGTTGGGCTCTAGCACTCTAAATAGTTTGAGCTATAACTTCATTACAACTAGTATAAATGGAGAACTGTAGGGATGGAAGGAACTCCTTTAGTAGCTATTTCGTTATCACTAGTGCCAACGACACCCCTCATCCCTTTGGCGCCATTATAATGAAACCTTTAGTATAGTTATTATTAAGTAAAAAAATTGAAGGAATATATCACTGTAACCTAACCTAACAAAATTCAAGGTGGATTTAATACAAAATATGGAGTTTTATATCATTCATCCATTCTTCGGGTTTAAAAGGGGATACCTTGGGACAACATGAGACAATCTGATGGGATTTAATCTCAGCTCGCAAGTCAAATCTTAAGAGCTAAATTCAAGTAATTGTGAATTTAAGAGAAAATGATTCGTGCAGAAGTCTAAATAATCATAAAATGTTTGCCATCAAAGTTTTTTGAATAAATAAAAAATTTAACAATATTTTATTAATTATAAAAAAAAGAAGAATTATATATCTTTATATCTAACCCATAAACCTAGATAAATTTTCAAATAAAGAACTGCTGTTACTATTGGACGAGTAAACATCAAACCAAAAAAAATAACTATTGCTGAAAAATTTACTTCTGTTATTTGGTCCATTAATAGTAGGACCTGCTAAGGGAAAAATTAACAATAATTGAGCTTTCCAGGTGAACCTAAACTATAACTTATATTTATTATATAGCATAAATGGCGACCTGTAGGATATAATCGTACGATTAACAGAATATGCTAATGCAACAAATATCATGCTACTTGCTTTGAATAATCAATTCTAATTAATTCACACTAATTTATATTCAGTTCATGACATATGAAAGTAGTAGTTATTGTATTTCTATGCTGACACATCCATATGCAATTCTATGCTCTATATATTTATAGCCGGCTAGTTTATCATAACATTCTGTAGATCTGTGCGCCTGACTAATTAATTATTCTAACAAGAGTGTGGCATAAACCTTCACATCCATCACATACAAACTTGCATATTTATTATATTATATCATGAGCAAATGCTATAGCAATCATTCTATAAGCAATATGATTAAAACTTGTTTCCATGTCAACGTGTTTTAATATTAGTATTAGCAATATTTGCGTCACTTTTGCCAAAAAAATGTATATCTAAATCGAATCATGCCATCATATATTTCATTTCAAGATTAAATACTCTATCGATAGTTCAAGGTTACTACTTTAGGGCAAAGTCATGACATTTTGAGTCTAAAGATGGTTGTTCGAACACTGTTAACACTTTTTAAAAGTAGTAACAAATGACAGACTTTTATAAATCAAATTTTGCATCAAAAAGTTGGGAACTGTTTTTAAGCTATAGAAGGGGTTAGGCCGAAATATGCTGATGATAGGTGGAGTTTCTTTGAGAATTCTATAATGGGACATTTACATACATAGCACACAATTCTTATGTATTTACATCTCTCACACCTAAAATTCAATATTTACACACATAGCTCTCAAAACTTTAATATCATATAAAAATATCACTACTACTACTTTTTAAAAGTTAAATACACCTTTCATGCATAGGTTTAAAGCACCAAAGTGCTATGTAAAGCACCAAAGTGCTATGCATATGCATGTGAATATGAAAATTTAGTTGTGAGATATGTAAATACATAGGAATTGTGTGCTCCGTATATAAATTTCTCTTATATAATCAAGTATTCTTGTAATGAAGTGGTCCTAATGATGGGTGGCCAACTTGAAAATTGCACTAAGGATAAGTTGTGAGGTTCAACCTAGTATGAGTTTGGTTATGTTTAAATGACCAATATCTCACATAGTATCAATTGGAGTGTTACAATTGGTATGAATATTAGGCCGCCTCCAAAATTACTTTTGGAGACAAGTCTTATAGAAGTACCCCCATCACATTGTACAAACTATTATAGAAGTGTAGATAAAAAATTTCCTGTTAATCAAATGAATAATATTCAATCATAAGTATACTTGATGATCACCTCTACAATCATCTGGAACTCTTAAAACCCAGAAATAACCGAGTAAAATGGTGGCAATCTTAGAAGTTAGAATATAAAGCTAATATCTTGTATGATCTCTATTGGTATAATCAAGAGAACTTATGATTTCACATTTATTTACGTCATTTCAAATTCTTCAACAGAATTTAACAAGTAACATAATTGAAAATGCAAACTTAAATTAAACATTTAACAATATTACCCACCATCATTTGAAAAGAGTATAATCATCATTACTGAAAGTACTGAATTATTGCAGTGATTGGCATTGCAAGTGTTACCTGAATCAAATGAAGTGCATGGCTAGACATTTTGTATATATACTTAGTTCAAAAATATTGTTGGCAACGTTTTGATTTTTATTCTAGCTCTGGCAATTATTAACTTTTAGCTACATATTTATATTTTTGATAATTATACAATCAACAAACAAATTTACTCCTTGGATCTCGATTGATCATGCCAGCTCAAAGTTCTGAGATGCATATGGTAAAATTATTTAGGGAAATTTACATACATGCCACACAATTCCTTTGTATTTACATATCTACACTTACAACACCTTGATGTCATAAATCTTTACATGAAAAGATATATTTTACTTTTAAAAGATAGAGATGGCGGTGTTTTTGATGTGTTGTTAAAGATTTGAGTGGTATGCATGGAAATATGAATGTTTAGTTGTTATATATGTAAATATGTAGGAATTGTGTGGCATGTATGTAAATGCGCCAATTGTCTATTTACTCATACTTAAGATGATCATCTATTTTAGGTTATGTGAATCTGTTTTTGGAGATTTATCTTAGTTCTATTTCTTTAGTCATTCTGGATTTTGAATTTTTCTTTTTTGGGCACGCTATTCCTCAAGAGCTATTAATCTACAGGGGATTGCTGGCTCTAGCGACAAGCCAACTGCACCAACAAATAAATTTTCTAAAACAGTTTCCAGTGCTGAAGGCCTGCCAATAAATAACAAAACTGTAAGTTGCAAAGCGAATGCTTTTTATATTTTAGTGACTGCTATTGTTTTCTAACTGAGGAACTTTTATATTTCAAATTATCATATTTATTTTGTGCAATTTATTTCTTTCTTTGTTTTTGGGCTTTGAGAAGAACTATTTTAGATAACTATTAGCTAGTTATAATGGCGTGCATTATGCATATAAAACAGAAGAAAAAAAATATGATTGTCAAAACATATGGCATTTTTAACATAAAAGAATCTAATGTGCTCTTAAAGTATAAGTTAAAGGTGGAAAAAGTACAGCATGATAAGGTTCAAACTTTCACAATCAAGTTCATTCCATCAAATTATGCTTCTAAGCATCCTTATCCTCACAATTTTTGGTTCACTTTATCTTTCTTCACATTTTTCTGTGAAAGTCTTGAGGATTCTTGCGATGAATTTACAGTATTATGTGTGTTCATTACATGAAGTATTACATTATCTGATCAAATAACGTCCAACTTCTTTCACTCCATTTTTAAACTTTTATGCTGTTACAAAATAAATGTTTATGTTCAACCACTAACTTTGGTTCATAAAACTTGTAAAGCAGCCCTATCTAACAGCATCAGTGAAATCTGAAGTACAAAGTGAGGTCTCATTATAGGCTTATTTCAATCCTAAACTAGTTTGAAAAGATTTTAGAGCCAATAAAATACTATTACATGTATTGATGTGATGTCCTAATACAATGGGAAAGAAATTAAGAAAAATATTTTAGAATTTAAAGCTGCTAAAAACAACAAAATTTGACTAATTTATGTAAGGCAGGTAGAGCTAATTTGAAATTAGCATCTTTCAATATCTTCACCTTCTTAAGTAGTATCACCGACCTACCCATCAAGCTATTTTAAATTAAGCATTTTAGTTGTTTTCTAGGAGTGATTAGGTATAAATTATGGGCCTTTTTAGAGAGTTATGCATTATGAAGAGCCAAAATCTTGATATAATGCCTTGGTTTGAGACTTTGCCCTTGGCCTTTGTGCTGGCACTACATCACTCTTTTGAAGCATTGATCTCAAGAACGTTGCACCTCTAAAGCATAAGAGTCTATTAAAACACTTGTTGAAGTATAAGAGATGTTGAGGAGTTGAAACTGTGGGATTCTTCATATTGGAATAAAAAAATTTGCGAGAATTTAGCTTATGTTGTGGCTAAAATTTTAAGATTTCATAATCTAAAATTCTAATTTGCGAATCAATAAATATGACTTAAAATTTCAAAAAATGAGTTATTTGTTGCAGTAGCCTTAAGTCTATAGATTGTTTGGTAAATCATATCTTTTATATTGGTAAAATAAAATACACTTAGGACCAAGATAATTAGAAGTAAAATAAAATGAAAAAAACACATTAATAACGAGAAGCAAGAAATGTGTCTATGTTTTATATTTTATGGACGTTAACTTTTCTTCAGAATATGTTTTATTTATTCATCTATACATTTGTGGGTGTTCTTTTGATATTTATCTATAACTTTTTCTTGGGAGAATGATGCTTATAGATATATTGATTTATTATGTTTCATGGATGTTAACTTTTCTTCGGGCTTATTTCAATCCTATTTGATAATTTTACTTTTTAAAATAAATATCAATTTAATATTCAACCAAATTAATAATAATCTGTTAAAACAAAACAACATCAAAAATCCTATAGAACTACTTGATAATGAGAAATAATAAATTAAAGATTACAAAGATTTTTCCACAAGAATAAACTCCATCAAGAACCTTGCTCCTACAAAGAAATTTTGTTGTTTAGAATGTTGTTGTGCTTGAAAGTGCGGTCCTAGTTTTCTACTCCTAGCAATTTCTATAGGCTAGGGAACTGTGTTGTTGTTGGCCAAGGCAATAGTTGTAAATGAGCTGAGTTTGACTGAGTCCAGTGCATGTTGGTATTCGACTGGTTTGATTTTTATTTATTTATTTTTTTTTTTTTATGTTGGTATTCGACTGGTTTGATTTTTATTTATTTTTTTATTTTTTTTTTTGTTATTTTTTTTTTTTTTGTGTGTTTGAAACGGGCTTGTGTTTGAAATGTTCGTAGATAACACGTTTTAGGCTCAATTCAAATATGGTTGTTCTTTTTGGCTCGGATGCTTTGCTCAAAATTAGCTCGAATGATTTAAAAAACATTAACATTTGACTTTTTTTTAAATATAATGTAAAAAACTTTTATAACAATATTATAATATTATTTTTAATTTATTTAATTATTCAATGAATTCGAGCTAAATCAATCCGAATAATCTAACAAAAATTTATTTATGCTAGGTTTTTTTATAAATCTAGCTCAAGTAAACTATTTATGCTTGGCTCATATGTTTAACGGATGAAGTGAATACGGGCTACTTAGCATGCCGAACTTGAACTATTCGTGAACGATGAATATTTTTACAACCCTCATCAAAGCCACCGCCTAAACTACTTTTAAAACCTTTCTTGCATGAAGTGCCAAGTGATGCTACCTATCTAAATTCCCTGAAAGGCACTTTGTTTATGGCTACTAGCCTCAACTGCTTGGGTTACCTTGTTTTACAACTTTGACACCCGTCTTAAAGCCTTGCTGCCCTCAACCGGAAGCTGTGGTAGTAGACCAAAAAGGCAACCAACAAATCACCCGTTCTTCAAAAGAGAATAATGATAACTTGGATCCTTCCTGTAACCGACTATTGCTGGTTGACAATGCTGAATAGCAACGAAAGAGGACTTTGACTGCTTATTTTCAATGGTGTCGGAGATCGGGGCTTCAGCATGAACAACACCCTCTCTCTATCTCTTCAAGAATATAAGGAAATTCTTCCCCAAAGTTTGAATAACTTGAAAATAACTCCTCTGAAAAGTCGAGAAAATAATAAGTGGTTGCTTTAAATGGAGCTCAAGCCAACCCAAAATGAACAATGCAAAATTATAAAAGTATTTTAAAGAACCAAATTTAAAGTATCCCTACAAAAATAATGACACGAGCGAGCCTATTAATTGCCCTCTTTTATCTATTAAAATGTTTCATGAGGCAATTTATGGTATGCATTATAGCTATGACAACGAGCAAATCATAACTACAATATTTTCTTTTCTTATAATTCAACGTCTAATTTCCAAGAGACACGATGTTAATATGAAGTATCATTAATCACTATAAAATTATCATGGTATAATCATTCAATCACTTAGCTTAGCAAAAACTACTATAGTAATTATAAAGGCATAGGGGCAATGATGAGAAATTTTTTTTACTCATGCATCGCAATTTTGATTATGCTTCCTCAAATTTTTGAGATGCGTAAGCTAAAATTTTTTTGGTTTATCGTTCCTGGGATGCATATTGATTTTAAGTTGAAGTGATGAGTTTTTGAGATTTTTTTTTTCCTCAAAATTTTTAGGTTTTAAACTTTTCCTTTTTTGCTTATGCTAAATCATTATTGTTGTTGTCCTAAAGGGGAATGCTGGCTCTAGTGACATGCCAATTTCATTATCAAACAAGCTTTTCAATTTGGCTCCTAATACTGAGGCTCAGCCTGGCAATAAACTTGTGAGTTATTTTACTATTGAAGATATTGATATTTTAGTGATTGCTATTGTCAATGATTGACATAGAGGGACACAAGAACATGGTAAGATACAAAGACTGGGCACGGAGAACTGTGTGAATTTTATAAAATTGAGTGTTGCATGGTTGGGTTATGGAGGTATACTTCTTCAATATCTTCTGGTTCATATCGAGTCTACTGTGCATTTTATTTGTTTAACATCAGAGATCTTTGAGTCGTAACATCCAAAAACCTTGCTTAATAAACCATATGTTGCCTTCTATTAGGTATTCTGAGTAGGCTTAATGTCCACATGAGATGATGAGCTTTTGAGAATTTTTGTTCGTAGGTTTTTTTAAGTTTGAGTACGAGCGAGCAGTAATATCATTAAACCTGGAGCTAGTGAAGACTCATATAACATAGCAGAATTGGGGCTGATTTGGTAATCCATAGGGGCCATGCGGTAGAATCACAATTGTCATTTCTTTCTGCTAATAGCTCTAAGTTAAGGAGGAGGAATTGAACATTCATTTTCAATCCAAGAATAACATGCCTGTTCATATTTTTAGCCGGTCATCAAAAGGTGTCGGGACATGAAGAACAGTTTAAGTGAGATAGATGGACAAATATAAAAGTATCTTATGGACAAATTCAGGTTCAGTTTTGTAAATTGATGCAAAAAAAGCTGATACTTTTGCCCCATTTAAAAGACAATGGAAGAGTAGTAATATTGCATTATTGCATGCCATGTGATAAGTTTACACTGGTTTTGAGGTGTTCCTAAAAATTCCTCTGTTTTTATGGAAATCACATAACTAATATTATATTCAGTTTTCTTTATTTTTTAAAAACCTTATGTTAAATATCTGAGTTAGCTTGGCTAACCAGATTTCATGAAACATTTGCCATCGCCCTGAGAAATGGCAACAAATGGTCCGGCTCATCTCCTTGCCACCTCCTTTTCTCTATTATGTTGTATTTATTGACAACTATGAGCATGTGTAAATGTAGTTAAAAAATGTACTTCAACGCAAATTTCTAATGCTCGTTAAAATTCTCAAATTACAGTTGTAATCTTGCAAAGATAATTTTTCTTTCTCAATGCTAGAAGAAAGCTTCATGTGCCCACAATATATATATATATATATATATATATATTCATAGGAATTGGGTGGTATGTATTTAAATGCCTTTCATAATTTTCATAAACGTGCAGATGACCTGCATTGTTGAATTTGATGGCGCTTCTAAAGGAAATCCTGGAAAGGCTGGTGCTGGAGCAGTACTGAGAACAGAAGATGGGAATGTGGTAGGCAGCTTTTACCATAAAATCCCCACTATTTTTTTAATATTATTTTGTGAAGTTGAATCTTGTAATAATATAGCTTTTTTCCTCATTGTATGTGAAGATTTCTCATGTTCGTGAAGGCTTGGGTATTGCAACTAATAATGTGGCTGAATACCGCGCCTTGATTTTGGGCATGAAATATGCTCTCATGAGAGGCTTCAAGCATATCCGGGTGCAAGGTGACTCGCAATTAGTTTGCCTTCAGGTGTGCTGTTTGTAATAAATATTGCTATCCGTTTTGTTGTAACTATTTTAAAATTAGTATTCATGTTAATTACAACATATATTGTCTATTAATCTAACATGTTAAAAAAAACCATTAGATTGTACAACATTATTCTTATTCTTTATTGATTCATGATTGGTTCTTGTGAATTTTGAATAATTCTTTTTCTCACTGAATACATAGATAATTCACCTATAAATAGGCGAGTACAAGAGATAAAAAAGGAGGAAAGAAATCTTCCTACAATTAAGTAATTCCTATAATTATGGAATAAACATAAATACCTATACTTAAGGAATTACCTTTTTTATACTATGACTAAATATAGCAAGTACTAAATAGAATTAAAGTAAATAATAATGAGCGTAATTCCACACTCCCCCTTAAGGTGGGTTGTACAGATTGTACATGTCCAACTTGTTGGTTAGCTCATCAAAACTGGATTTAGGGAGAGCCTTGGTGAGAATGTCTGCGGTTTGGTCTCTAGGAGTATAGACCAATTCAATGATTCCATTGTCCACCTTCTCTGAAATGAAGTTCCGATCAATCTCAATGTGTTTCGTTCGGTCATGATGAATAAGAGTCTTTGCGATGCTAATTGTAGCTTGATTGTCACAGAACATCTTGATAGAATTTTCTCCCATAATTTCAAGCTCATTGAGAAATCTTTTGATCCACATTCCTTCACAGATTCCAAGTGCCAGTGCTCTGTATTCTGCTTCTGTGCTACTCCGAGATACCACCGATTGCTTCTTACTTCTCCATGTCACTAGATTGCCGCATACATACGTGCAATACCCAGAGGTTGATCGTCGGGTGGATATATCTCCTGCCCAGTCTGCATCAGTAAA